CATCCCCCTGCATCCCCCCGCATCTCCCTGCATCCCTCTTTTCCTTGCTTCCTGAATGCAGAAATGATGTTCCCCCTCCATCACCAGGAAAGCTGCCGCCGTTTCTTGCACCGGGTCTCGCTGGAGCTACAGATGTGATTCCATCTAGAGCTGCTAGGAGTCTCTTATGACATCTATCCTTCCTTCCTTCATAATGACATTGATTTTCCTCCTCTTTTGGAAATCTGTCTCCTTGAGGGGAGAGGCAGAAGCCCCGTCCCTGTTGGTAGAACCGTTTGAAAAGAACACGGGTCGAATGAGGCCCAGCAGCTCCAGGAGAGGCCACGTGGCTGGGCCAGGACACTGGCTCTGGCCTGGCCTGGCCACTGACCCTTGGCGCCCACGAAGGCTTACCTGCATCCTGAGGGCCAGGAGAAGAAGGGACCTGTCTTTCAGGATCACAAAATGCTCTTTGCTCTGCAAGCCACGTGTCAGGACGAGGGAGTTGGTCTTTGAACTGTCATTATTCACTTGAATGTTGTATTTCTTTTCTTTTTTTTTTTTTAAAGGGAAAGATATCTGCTGTTTCAACATTTGATAACTTTATTTATTTATTTATTTTTTACCCCAAAGCCCCAGTAGATAGTTGCATGTCATAGCTGCACATCCTTCTAGTTGCTGTATGTGGGATGCGGCCTCAGCATGGCCGGAGAAGCGGTGCGTTGGTGCACACCCGGGATCCAAACCCGGGCCGCCAGCAGCGGAGCGCGTGCTCTTAACCGCTAAGCCACGGAGCCGGCCCCAAATGTTGTATTTTCTAGATAGTACAATGGCCAGTTCTCCGGAGGAACAGGGTGAAGATTCTAGAACTATGGGTTATCCACAAACCACATCCCTTAGGCTGTGAGATGCATCTTGTGCCTCATTTCTCAGTTGTGTTCTGGTTGTAGTGCTGTCGGAGGACTTGGGTCCGATCTGCAGGGCTGAGTGGCAGCCCAGGGAGGTGCTGGGAGAAGGGGGCAGGTGAGATAGGCCCTAGGTCCCAGGATCCCCCAAGCAGGCTGAGCCAAGAGTGGCTGACCGAGGGTTACTGGGTGGAATGCTCTGTGTGCCCTTTTGTGAGGCTGGTCCTTGGCCAAGGTGAATTGCTCGTCCTGGTTTTCCAGACGTCCTGGTTTTCCAGGTGTGGGGTGGTGACACGGGAAGGCTCTGTGTGGGGGCAGCTCAGGGCCAAGGGGCTCACACACTAGATTCTGTCCACTCCGACCCTAAACCCGGCCCTCACCCGGGGGGGACACCTGCCCAGCCTCTCTGGCTCTTCTCTTTCTCCTACAGTCTGTTGTCTGTTCTGCTGTAACACATGTCTAATTTTACACACACACACACTCTCTCTCTCTCTCTCTCTCTCAATTACTGGCTTCAATGGCTCCCTCTCTTAGGATGAAGTTCTTAGCACGGCCTCCAAGAGCTCACGTGATCTGGCCCTGGTTTATGGCTTCATCCCTGTCCACACTGATCCAGCCCGACTCTAGGCTGAGCTGCTTCAGTGCCCGTGGACCACACAGCCCTGTGCACGTGCCGCTGCTCGGCCTGGACCACGGCCCCTCCTGTTGGCTGAGGTCCCAGCCGGCTCAGCCTCTGCAAACCTCCCAGGAGTCAGGCCTCTCGCGGTTCCGCAGGCCTCTGAGCCTCCCCACCGTCGGCCCTCATCACATGGCGGTGTTGTTGTTCCTATTGGTTCCTTTGTCTTCCCCGCCAGACAGCGAGTCCCGTGACGGCTGGGACTGCCCTCTGGTTCCCAGCTGTCCCTCAGTGCCTAGAAGGGGGCCTGACCTGGCACAGGGGCTCAGTAAGGTAGAGGGTGAGTGGGTGGATGCTTGGAGGACATGGGACGTGGGGCACCCATGAGCACCTCCCAGAGCCTTTGCTCGCCCACGTCCTCGTGAGAAGGACGGTCACGGTGTCGCTTGGGGAACAAGTGCGAGGGGAGGGTAAGTACGCGCGCAGCACAGCGCGGGGCCGCGGAGGTGCTTGCTTTGGGGAGCTGCTAACCACCAGCTAGAGCCCCATCCTTACCCTGCCGCCTGCGACTCCAGCCGAAGGCTGGGCCAGAGCTGGTCTCAGCCGGTGGGGCAGAGGTGGCCAGGAGATGGAACAGTCAAGGGAGCTGTGGGGGAGGCGGGAGGCTGGTGAGAGAGACCCCAGACGGAGCCATGCAGAAGGGCCTCCTCCCTCTGCACCCCTGAGCCCCACGGACCTGCCCATCCCCTGCCGGGTCCTCCCGGGGGCAGCCCGGCAGACCTCCTCGCTTTTCCCTCCTCCCCCGGGACCCGGTCATTGGGATCAGCCCTGGCTCTACAGGCGCATCACCTGGGAGCTTTGAAATACCCGGATGCCCAGGCCACACCCCAGGCCAGTGACGTCAGACTCAGGGTGGGGCCTGGGCAGAAGCATTTCATAACCCTCCCGGGAAGCCCCAACATGCAGCCAAGTTCGAGAAGCACTGTTCGAGGTATTCCTCCGTAAAACCGGTTTTTCCTCGAGCTGCGTACCTAACTTATAGGGTCCCCCCAGCTAGAGCTCGGGGAGGGTTGCCTGATGGGAAGTGTCCCCATTCCCAGCCTCCCCACAACAAAAATCCACGCCAGAAATAAGTAAGCACTTCTTAAAATGGTTCGATTTTTTGAAAAAGTACCGCATGCATGTGGCACAAACTTCAGGCAGCACCGATGGGCACGCAGTGAAAGGACAAGCGGCCCCCCCGTTCTCCCAGCGGCGGGCCCCGCGCCCCGCGCCTGGGGGTCCCTGCAGAGCTGTCTGTGCGCGCACGCGCGTGCGGGGGGAAGGCCCCCTGTCTCGCCGCCCCAGTCATCCGCTAGCGGAACCTGGCTCTGCCTGCTCTCAGGCATGCAGAGTGCTGCGTCGGGGACGTGGGCCACGCTGATGGCTAGCCCCCTTCAGGGGGGCCGGCTTTGGTCATCACCAAGCAGCATGGAATCCGTGGTCACATGTGCGACTCTCCCTGCGGGATGAATTCCTGGAAAAACTGGAATTCTTGGGTCACAAAACAGGTGGATTCACCTGGCTGATAAGCACCCCGTTTTCTGTCATTCCAGAGGCCGTCTACACCGGCGCCCCCCACGTACGAGCTGCCCGCATTGTACAGGACCGAGGACTATTTTCCTGTGGACGCCGGGGAGGCAACGCTCCCCCCCCGCAGCGGCCCTCGGCGGCTGTGAGCCTTGCCGTCCTGCCTTCAGGGTCGTCGGAGAGTGAAACTGAGGACACAGCAGCTTGGGTTTTTTCTGTTCTTACTGTTGATTTGTTTTCTGAGTTTCCTGCCTTGCTTCATGTGCGACCGCGGGGTTTGGAGAGGCGGTGGGAACGCACGTGTGGCCGTGCCGCAGGGGTGAGCTGGGGGGGGCGCTTTCCGCCAGCGGTTGGCCTGCCTGGGGTTCCAGGACGAGGCGTCAGGTCTGACGTGCCACCGGGGCTGATGGACGCCGGGGACTTTCTCTGCGAGGGCTTTGCATGGGAATCTTAGGGGGCTCACTCGGTGCCCCAGGGCTGTGTGGCTCCAGGTCCGGTGGTGGTGGGTCTGTCTGCAAACCCCAGTGCCCACTGGCTGTGAATCATCTCAATAAAGGTGTCAAGAGGTCACGTGTGGTCTGGGTGTAAGTGTTTTCTGGAAGGGTGCTCCTGCCCCCTGGGCAAGCGTGATCCTCCAACCTGCTTATGATAAAGCCCCTCACCTGAGGGGGGGGTGCAGCTCTGGCCTTCAGAGGCCCAGCAAGAGTGGAGAGCTCATTAGGGTTCCAGGGGGTCTGCAAAGGTGGGTTTGCCTTAAATTCTTCTCATGCAGATGAATTTCCTGAAACTCCAGATTCCTCATTTTGGTGATAGATATTTCTCCTTTTTCTGGAATTCCTCAGAGAGCCAAGAAAACACACACAAACACACACACACACCCCCCCCTCTGAACTCCAGACCTGCATTAGAATTCCAAGGAAATCTAACATAATGAATCGGGAGAGACAGCAGTAGAAGCAAGGAAAAAGTTGAGTCTTGCCAATTTTAAGACAGTTTTCGGAATTAAAAGATATAGGTGGACCCCTTGTTTCAAGAAGAGCCAGCGTTTCTCCATGGAGATAATTTTTGTAAACGTTTATAAAAAATGTTTTTAATTATTATTTATTATTTAAATTTATTTTAAAGTATCGAAGTATAATTTGCATACAGAAAGGTGTACCTAAGTGTACAATTCACTGAATTTTCACAAACTGAACACTGATGGTGAAATAAACATCATCAGCACCCAGAATCTCCTCTGTGTCCTTCCAGTCACGCCCGACCCCCACCCCATCCCCACCCGCACCCCGCGCTAACACCGTCCTGACACGGAACAGTATAGACGGGGGTTGCCGGCTTCTGTACTGGGTGTAACTGGAGGGTGAGTGGCATGTGCACAGTACGTCCCCATCTGCGCCTGGCTTCTCGGCTGACGCTGTGCCTGCGGGAGGCATCCCTGTTGCTGTGTGTAGCTGCACATCGTTAACTGTGTGTATCGACTGGGACCGTTTTTAATGAAGGAAGCTTAGATACTCTTGTGCCCGTCTGCTCAGGGAGAGCATAGGTTCAATGGAAAGTTAAGTTTTCAGACAAGTGGTGAGGACACCAATTTCTGGAAGGCTGAGTCTATGTTGATTGCTGGAGACGCCCAAGCTGCTTTCTCCTTCCAGAGCCTGGACCGGGGGCCAGGGAGAGGTGAAAGGGAATGTCATGTGATCAAGCCACAGCAACTTAAGTGTTCTAAAATAGAGACCCACAGGACCGTGCTAAGAGTGTATAGGCTCCGCGGTCAGCCTGCCTGGGTGGCACCGTCATCTCCTGCACATTTCAGCTGTGTGACCCTGGGCTCGTTGCTTACCCTCTCTGAGCTCAGCCTCCTTCTCAGCAAGATGCAGGGAATAATGGCCCCTGCTGGGTTGTGAGGATGAAACGAAATGACCTGTGTGAGCGCTTGGCTCAGGGCGTGGCATTGGGCACTTGGTAATGGGTGGCTGTTGTTACGGTGACTGGGCTAGCTGGGAACAGGGTGACCCCGTGCTGCGTTTCTCATTGACCAGTGGCATCCAAGAGCCTCAACAGTGAGGGACTTAGGGACTGCCCTTAAATCGCAGAGTAAGAACAAGTGACAGAAGAGAGAGAGCTGCCAAAAGTCCATCTGGCTCTCTCAGGGTTTTGCTGTCCTCGGATTCTTTTAGGGACCCCTCCCCCCACCCCAAGTCAGTGAGGAGGGGTGGGGTTGCATGGGAACATCTATGGGGAAAGGGTGACAAATGAACTGGAATTGGCCATTCCAAGTGTCCTGGCAGTTGCAGTGCTGAACAACGAGCTTTTAAGGACCCTTAGAGACACCTGGGGGGAGGGAAGGCCAGGACACAGCCTGCCAGGGATTCCCTCAGTCCTGCCACTGTCCTTGTGCCAGTGACCTGAGAGGCATCCCCTTTAAAGCAAGTGCCTGACTCGCCCCCGGGGAAGTAAACGCAGACCTGACTGCTGACCTGAGCTGGCTTCGAAGCCCGAAGGACGCAGGGGTCACTGTGCAGCCGAGGAAAGGGCGATCTTTTTCTTTCTCTTTCTTTTGTGGCTGTTGCTGGACAGGGACACCAGTAGAAAGGCCACTGCAGAGTATCCTAGAGCAAGGTTCCTCGGTCAGCCTCCTCCCCACTTCCCCAGTGGATGTGAACTGCACATCTGTGGAAGCGAGAGGTTTCGAGACGGTGGCCCATGGGTGGGCAGAAATGTATGGTTTGCCCTGAACTGTTTTAAAATGTTTTCATGTTGAGACAACTGGGTAACCATCTGGAAAAAATAAAGTGAGTTCCATACCTCACTCTGTACACCAGGAACAGTTCCAAAATTCCAAATGGATTAAGGAGGAGTTAAATGTATAAAATGAATTTACAGAAGAAGGAGGCAGAAACAGAGACTCATACAAAGTCCAGAAAGCCATAAACGATAGATAAATTTGATTATATATAAAAAAGCAAATCCTCTGCATGGCAAAAACAAACAGAAAACTCAACCAAAAACAACAACAACAAAAAAAACTGAAGACAAAACAACAAAATCCTAAGCAAATTCAAAAGACAAATGACCAAAAAGACAAAAGACAAACTGGGAAAATACAGTTGCAGCTCGTATTACAAAAGGATAATCTCCCTAATACATAAACAGCTCCTACAAATGAATAAGAGGAAAAAACAGAAAAATAGACAAAGGATATGAACAGGGATTTCACAGAAAAGAAGATGCAAATGGTGTTGTAAACATATGAAAAGATACTCAGTCTCAATCTATACCAATAAGTATGAAAGAATATTGAAATTACTCAGTTTTCACTTAGGCTGGCAAAATGAAAATCTTTGATGACACTGCTGGTGAAATTTTGGAGACACACGCCTTCTCACCCATTGATGGTGGGACACCATTCTCATGGAGGTCCAAGGGCAGGACCTATCAAAATCAGAAATGTATCTCCCCTTGGACCCAATGATTCCACCGCTAGGCATCTAGCCTCCCAATATACACACACAAGAGAAATAATAAATGCGAAAGGTTATTTACCACTCATTGAAACAGCAAAAGATTGGAAAGAACCTAAGTGTCCATCAGTGTGGGATTGGTTCAGTTATAGTATGTCCATATGATGGAATCCTATAAAGTTGTCAAAATGATTAGGAGTTCTTTATGATTTGGTATGAAAATATCACCAAGATATGAAAGCCAAAGGGCAGAAAAATACACGATATGCTACCATCTGTGTGAAAAAGAAAGGCATTAAAATTCTCTGGAAGAATAAACAAAAATTTGAGAACAGTGAATATCTGTTTTGGGTGAGAAGTAGACTTTTCACTTTTTTGTGAGTGTGAGGAAGATTAGCCCTGAGCTAACATCTGATGCCAATCCTCCTCTTTTTGCTGAGGAAGACTGGCCCTGGGCTAACATCCGTGCCCATCTTCCTCTACTTTTTATGGGACGCCACCACAGCATGGCTTGACAAGCAGTGTGTAAGTCTGTGCCCGGGATCTGAACCTGCGAACCCTGGGCTGCCGCAGCGGAGCACGTGAACTTAACTGCTATGCCACTGGGCCGGCCCCTGGACTTTTCACTTTTTACTTTTTATACCTTTTGATATTTTAGTGTTTACTTATTCAAAAAATTCAATTAAAATCAGCAATTAAAAATTAGAAGAATCCGGGCCGGCCCTGTGGCTTGGTGGTTAAGTGCGCGCACTGCAATGCTGGTGGCCCGGGTTCGGATCCCGGGTGCGCATCGAGGCACCACATCTCCGTCCATCCTGAGGCCGAGTCCCACATACAGCAACTAGAAGGATGTGCAGCTATGACATACAACTATCTACTGGGGCTTTGGGGGGAAAAAATAAAATAAATAAAAATCTTTAAAAAAAAAAAAAAAAATTAGAAGAATCCACACAAAGAACTGGATTTCCAGTTTCTCTTCAAAAACTGAAATATCTGGCAGTTCTGGGCTCATATTCGTGCAAGGCCACAATGAGCTACAGCTGAGTCGCATTAGAGGGACCATGCTCTCCAGGTTTCACTTGTATACAAATTATTTCACTAATTTATTTTGCCTGCCTGGCCCCCAACGGCATTTGCATTTGAGACCCTGAGAACCAGAGGCCCTTAGACCATGCAGAATTTACTCCAAGGATATGTGAAGAAATGCAGCTGGCTGGAGGAAGCAGCTGCTTGGTCACTGAGGTTCAAGCAACCCGCCAGCGAGCATCTCTGTGCCCCGATTCCAAATGCCCTGGGGAAGGGGTTGGGTCTCACTATAGAATACGTGCTATCCATGGCTCTCCTTTTGGGGGTGACTGATCCCAAGTCAAAGACATCATAAGAAAGCTACAGACCAATATCGCTCATGAATATAGATGCAAAAGTCCTCAACAAAATATTAGCAGACTGAATCCAGCAACATATAAAAAGGATTATATACCACGACCAGTGGGATTTCTCCTAGGAATGCAAGGTTGGTTTAACATCTGAAAATCAATCAGTGTAACACACGATTAATAAAGGACAAATAGCACACGATCGTCTCAATAAACACAGAAAAAAGCATTTGAAAAAATCCAACATCCATTCATGATCAAAGCTCTCCTTCTTGGTGTGGAAAGGGGAGTTCTCAGAGAGGAGGGTTAGAGGCT